CCGACGTACTCTGCATATCGATTACCGATTAAGTTTGTCCATGCGTGTCGTGCATCCTGCTCAGAAGTATAGAATCCTGCTTTTCCTGGTTGACAGTGAAGTCAATAGCAGCTCCAGCAGATATGGCATTAAGAGGAATCGACGATGAATCACTTCGACAAATTCCATTATATTCACGCGCGGTACGCTAATTTATTATGATACAAAAAGAACCGTGATTCTATGCTATTAGCGGATTATACTGCTTATTGCGCACTATTGAGAGACTCTCTCAGTGTTACTCTGAGTCAGACTATCAGAGAATACTCAGGAGGATCTGTATCGATTGGAGGTCAAACGATTTCTTCCCGGTAAGCGAACTGTCTCTTAACGATTGTCAGACGAAATGATTTGTACCTCTACTAAATGATTTGTACCTTACCGGAGTCAGACGATTTCTCTCCTCCGAAGTCAATGGAAAATCGTGGAAGATTCTTTCGTTTTCTTTTTCATCGGCTTCGCAGGTTCTTGGGGTTTCAAGATGGCGGCAAATCGTTGACATCATTCATCAACTCCGCGCGGAGCGCGTTTTATTTAAATATTTTTTGGGAACTTTATTTGACAGGTTGCCACGTGGACTAGGACATAATTTTAATCCTATTGCTAGGTTTTCTCTTCAAAAAATGGCCACGCTATAAATCAAACGCAATGAGTGCCGTAAAAACAAAAATGATTGTAAGATCGCAAGTTTCTATACTTGTCGTTTCTAATTGATCTTTAACTAACATATATACTGAAAACTTTATAAAAAAGGAAATAACGAAGATTTATATGCTTATATATTGTATGTGTATTTTAATCTACCAGAGCAAATATCTCGAAAGATATAAAAAACTATTTCAAAGAAAAAAGTTGTACGATATCGAGGGAAACAGATTATGTTATGTTATTTGATCTTTGTCTCGCAAATTTGAATTTTCAAATTGAAACCTATATTTTTTACTCTATATCAATTATAACTGACATCGAGACGTTTTCAAAATACTGTCTGGATATACTTTTTGCCTAAGTTTTGACCTGAGACTTTTATCTTTTGAGGTTATGTCTCTAGCATGATTGGATAATAACTTGATTCTAATAAGTCCAATGTTCGTCCAATTTGCCAGTAGATCCACTGTGAAAATAAATACGGAGTTATCGAATAACAACTTGAAAATTATGGACTTAGAGTTAAAATTAATGTGCCATCAGCATTAAGGAAATCAGCTTGGAAAAACGATTGAAACATAATATGTAAACTTCACCTTTATTGTTCACAAATAGTTGATTCGTTTTGATCTACTATTAATCGTACAAATCGTAAAAACTAAGGTTTTTTCAAAGTTATCGCAAAGTCAAACAAATGACTGCATAATCTGTCCCTTTTGATACTACACAATAGTTTAGGTTAGGTTTAGATTAGATTTAGGTCCGGAACATTTGTTCATATGTCTTGTACCTTTCAAAATATTCGAGATATAATGAAAGATTTAAATGGCACATTCTGTAAAGTAAATTAGTCATTATAAATATTTATAAGGTAAAACAAATGTATATTTTTTTTAAATATTTGGTTACTAATCTAAGAAAAAATACTAGACTTTCATTATTGACGACTGCATTTTTACCATTACCATGTATATATAGTTAGTTTCTCAAATTGATTTTTATTTATTAACTCACTCTACATTTGTAAATGATGCGAATACTGATATATAAATATCAATATGTATAATGGTGCATTATTATTATTTATTATTGTTTTAACATTAGCACCAAATAATAAATTAAATTGAGAAAATGAAAGTCAGATCAGGATTAAAAAGTTTCACCATCTGTGAAATATTTAAAATATATATGTATATTTCATATATATACATATATATATATATATATATATATATTTATTAACATTTATAATAATTAATTTAACTCAATTGCTTTCTTTCTGTTTGACAGATAAATGAGACGATTGAAACTGTGAGATGAAATTATTTGAAGATTAAAAAATGAGAAAATTGGTTTAAGAAGACATGGATTTAAATGCATGGCTTGATAATTTTCTAGTTTGAACAAGTCTCGACACTATTACAATAGAATACTTGAATTTTTTTTGAAATCTTTGAATCTTATTTAAAAGCGATATTTAGAAATAAAATTAGATATAACCAAATATTATGATTTAACCTAAAAATAGGTTAAACGGAGATTGTAAGGTTTCAAGAGGGGACGTAAGCTGGATTAAACGAATTCTTTCTTACAAAACGCATTTCTCAGATTCGAAGGTTAAGCCCAAGATTCTTTTACGAATGGAAATACGTATTGTTTCAATCATAATGAGATTCAGATTCCTTTATATTAAAAAAAAAAGAAGATATTTCATGTTTTTAAATTTATGTAGTATAACAATTCGTTTTATAATCTATACTTTTTCTTATTTCATCGTGCACAAGTTTCAAGTATGTCAAAAGTTATATTGAACGATGGAAATACATTTTTTATGAGATTTCAAAGTTAATTTTTTAAGTGAAACAGTATATTTTTGTTTTTATGTTCTAATACAGAACATAAAAATGTAAATCATAATAATTATATCTTTTGCTTTGTAAACTGCTACACATATATATATATATACTATTTATTCTCGAGATATTCACATTTGAAAACAGTTACAACTTTTTAAATACATACGCGGCAGATTGAGTTACAAATATGTACATCTTTATATAATACTTTGATAAAACTGGAAAAAATTTAACCATTCATTCATTGGATCAATAATTTCAATAATATCTAATATTTATTTTCGAATATGAATATATCGCTGTATAAATACTTAGCAAATCACAGTTACTTCCAGACAAATATCTTAAGATTAAATGGTCTTGATGACATAATTGGAATCGTTGAATTTGTTCTTTATCGGGAAGAAATATATAGTTCCATTTAAAAGATCACTGAAGACCTCGTAGGAAAACTAGGAAAATTTATCTCCATCGTTCAAAATAACCGTTGAGATAGTGAGATGTTCTCTCATACAACAATAAATAAAGCAGATATCTAGATGATCCCGTTTAATTGAGACACCCTGTATATGTAAACAATATAAATACGCATTCAGAGAATATATTGAATATTACAACGAGATATTCTTATAATCAATTTCAATATTTAAACATACTTAATATTTAGTAGATCTTAGATTTGTCAACCTGTTTTTTTTTTTTTTTAAAGTTAATTTTATTACTTTTTACAGGTGCACGTGATGAGGATACGAGCGAAAGAAAGAATGTAGACACGGTTGTTGTTTTGCCAGCCGAAACAAGAGATCAGATGCTGTCAGCAACTTTCGATTTCCCTGATGTGAGCTTCGAGGACAGTCTTGAAGACTCGGCCTGGAATTGGAACAGGTGGTTCAGATCGAACTTGTTCGACGGATTGTACTCGAACTTGCAAGGTACGTTAACCAAAGCATTTCTTATAATTAGACTGCCGATTTTTTTTACGCATTTTATGCAGTCAATTCATATTATGTGCAAAACTACAGAGATACCGTGCTTTTTGTAGAATCTAGCAGGATGATCTTCCATCAAGGTCCTGTTTTTTTTTTAATTACATTTCGAAAAGTATAAATTTGCATAAAAATCCGCAGTCCAATTACGTGTACTGTAAACAATTTGAATGTGTTTCTGAAACACTTTGTCGACGAGAAGCTTTCGAACAATTACGCGGACAAATCTTCAGGAAATGAAAATGAAGAAAGCAACAAAATATATTCTCGATTGTCTCTTCGAAGGTAATTAAAATATTGATATAAAAATTTCTTTAGGCTTCTATATTATTTATTTCAACGTTCAAATTATATTTCTAAAGGCTAATCTAATCTAATCAGATTAATCAAGAAACTTCGTTCAACATTTTTCGCAGGAACATAAATTGTTTTAACGTTGATAAAATTGTTAATAAATTTCTGATGTAATTTTCTAGTTATCTGGTAATTCGTTTATCTCATCATTAAAGTAAAGTTTTTTGTATTTATTAACATTCAGAATGTTTCATTATTTTAAGTTTCTGAATTTTTTAATTCAGCAAATGAATTCTTTTCTCTTTTTTTTTTCGATAAAACTACATGTGCTTTTTGTCGCAAAATGCAATGCAGAAATGCGAAACAGATGCGTACGTTTTTATGAAAATGAATGCGGATATTGAAAAATTTTCAAAATAATCAGAGAGAGAATTCTCTTTTATGGCATTCGAAGCCATCCAATGACAAAAATATATATTTCTCGCGTCATTAGTAACAAAAAAAAAAAAAAAACAGACACTAAAAAATTCTAATTCAAAATATTCGAAAGAAATAACTCATCGAACATTACCGACAAAATGGCCGCTGCCGCGTCTCGAAATAAAACGTCTCGTTAACAACGGTAAATCGAATTTCACTTAAAAAAAAGTCGAGAGATCGTCGAAATGCACCTGTTTCCCACCTTCGGAGTATTTCGAGCCATCCACTTTTCAATCGCGGACGACACAATTGCCAGAACCGTAATTTCAGCCGGCAGCTCTCCAATGATACTTCTCGTTAATATCGTAAAACAACTCGAAATCGAATTATAGCTTTAGATCGGCAGATAATCAGAGAGCGCGGGCGAGGAGAAGCGGGAAGGGCGGGAGGGGTGGAGGGCAGGGATTATCAATGCGGATCAGATGCATTCGCCGGGACAGAATCGGCTAAATAGAGTGATAGTCGCGCGAATCGGGAATGACCGCACGCGTGCCGCTTAGGCGGCCGCAGAAACGCGATCACGGTTCAACAAGCACAAACATAAAATTACACGGAATCGCGAACGGCCGTGTCCGTGTTCCGCTTACATGCGGTTTGTCAAACGTAACTTCCGGTGGCCCGTTGCGCCCGTAATACCTGCGCGCAATCGGCCCCTTCTCC